CCTTTTCTGTGCCAAAACATTTTAATTATATCTTCTTCCAAGTACTGCAGTTCAGTAACCAAGGAGCTGACATTGATGCATGTGTTGATAAAGCTGCAAACATTCAAAATGAGATTAGCAAAGATTTTGAGGAAAGGGTGACAGCTAATTTTGCACACTATTCTGCATCTAATTCAGGTCAGTGTAATGATAGAATATTTTATAACTCTTGTGTCATCGAGAAGGACTTTTATGATGCTTTGGGGTAATGAACATTTGTGGTTTTGAAGAGTATAATTTCAATACTATTTTTTATACAAATACAAAGATGTTGTTATGGTTCTATAGGCTATACCCAGAAAGTGGAGGTGGGGAAAATTGATCATGTTCGACATAATTTCTTTATCTGCTTTGCTTGTAATTGTTGAATATTGTATGAAATAATCAAAACATGTAGTGATGCTGTTTATTTCCATCAAAATATCTAAACTATATGAAATTAAAAAAATGAAAATATAGTTTCTTTATGTTACATAGAACATTTCTAAGCACATTCCAGTGTGTTTTGGTTCTATTCTATGCTTTATTTGAAGGCAGCTGACACTCTTCTTTCACTTTTCTTTTTGTTTGTCAAGTTTTCTTTCTTTTTTATCCACTCACTTCTCCATCTGCTTTCACTTTTGTTTGCTTGGGTCGTCTCTCATCCCAACTTGATAATGAGGAATGTGGTGTGACCCTGACCTCTATCAGCCCATGAATGACCTTCTGACTCCCCTGTGTAACCTTTGACCTTTTCTTTGACAGCTTGATTAATTACCCTGTGTTATGATTTATGAGTAAGTGCTATGTAAAAATAATAGACAACAGGTGGTCCCCTAAAAACTTTTTGTGGCATGTTTTCTTTTCTTGCCTAACTTGATGAGCTATTTTAAGTTGGAAACTTTGTGGAGCAATATGAAGTTTGGCAGTAATATAGCATTTTTATACACTTGGACACAGAAGTGGAATGCAGGAGCCTAAGAGATGTGATGTAACTGGGATGAAAATATTACAAAGTGTTAGCAGGGTGCAGTTGCCAAAATGCACATTGGGTGAAAATACAAAAAGAAGTCAACTGACATTTTAGGCATTTCAGTCTCAGGTCACGTCTTGAGAAAATTGCTCAAATAATGGAGGGGGCATTTTTCAAGCTGAGCTGCATCTCCAACAGCTATGTTTACTTTTACGCTTCACTAGTGACTTCTGATTGGTTGTCATGACCTCATCCTACTGTTGCATCTAGGTTGTTGCAACAGTAACACATAGGTACCCTTCTCATGAAAAAGATAGGAAATAAACAGATCATACATCTTTAAAAACAATGAATAGTCATTCCTATGACCATTTTAAACATGCATAGATCTAGGTTACTGACCTAAACTCCTAAGATTCCTTTCTCTGCAGAACTAATTTGATTGTGCTTCAAATGTTTTAAATAGTTTTTTGTTTTTTAAATCAGATGGATAAAGTTCAAGAAAATTATGTGTTACAGATTTTCACTTACAAGCCAGAAAGATAGACACATAGGTCAATATATTCCACTCTAGGTTCCTGACCTCTCTGATCATATACAGCATGCTATCCTAGTGGATTAATATGCTGTGCTGAACGCTTTTAGCTCATTATTCATTTCAGCAGACATAAGAGCTTTCTTGTGTTCCTGAATGTATCTCAAATATTTTTGCTGTTGCTGTCTATATTTTATTCTATATGGGTTTTGTATCTGTACACAGTAGTAGAAGATGTTATTAGGATTTTTTTTCTTATTGATATCATATTTTACTACCAAGCATGCTGTAGTAAATTTCCTGTTATCTAAGATACAAAACGTCTTGGTATAAGTATTTTTTTGACATTTCTCTAAGCTTGCTTGTAATTTAATCATCGAAATTAATCAATATGAATGAATAAGCAGGTGTATAAGATTGGAAATTAAGTCCATCCTTTAAACAGTTTCTGAAATAATTGACAAGAATTTTAACTTGTTAGCAAAAATCCAGTAGATTTTGTAATCATACAGCTATAATTTTATAGCATATAGTAAATATAATCTTATTGGATAGATTTTTGGAATGTATGAATGATATAAAATTGATTATCCAATTGATAATCAGTTAGGACTCAAAATTTATTAAAGACTAACTTTAGTAGAGACTAGTTAGTTTATTTAATTTTAATGACTAGTTATTTAATTTTACTAATTTGTGCAGATGAACTTGAAACTTGTTGAATGCTGTATTCTACAGATAGTTGAATGCTTTTTCTGAAAACATTTCTGAAAACATTTAACTAAAATAGTATGAGTAATGTACAATATTGTAGATGTATTTCATTTCAGATATATTTTTCACATTTAATGCTTCAGTTATACCATTTATTTTCAAGGCAAATTGTTAATTAGTTGATATACAGTTAAGTAGGCATGCACATCTGAGGAAGCAGATGTTCTAAATCATATCAGCTTGTAAAATGTATGTTATTGATTTTAAGGATTATTTTAACAAAGTATAGATGTATAAGTCTTTGTTTAAGTTGGTCTCTACATTCTGAATTTATTGATGATATGCCAAAATTAGTTTCCTGTCATTTTGACATTAAAATGGAGCTAATTTTAAAAGTCTCATTAATAAAGAATGCAGGTTAAAATTTAAATACATTCTGATAAATTTTAAAAATATTTAAATTTTTAAGGTGAAAAGAAAACAAAAAGTCATATTCTCAAATGCAAAATTAATTTATGATAATGCTAGGTTGATCTCACTTTAGCAGCACTGATAGAAGTTAAATTCTGTTCCAGTTATATATATATTATGTTGTATTTCTACCTCCTTTCATGTATTCAAGTTTTGTCTATTATTCATTATCTATTTTTTTCTATTTTTTCTCATATTATTTAGGGGAAGTGACTGAAGACAAATGAAGAAAAGAGTATGACATAATGTCAATTTTCTCCTAAGCAAAACAAGGATTATAGTGAACTTTTTTTAAAAAAAAACCCATAAAACATATTATATATTCTCCTGAAATTTTATTATGTTAATTTTATTTTTACTTTAATAAATACAGTATATTAAAAAGTTTTTAAATCATGTCAAAGGATGGTTTGTGCTATTTAAACTTAATTGGTAAAAATCCTTTAATTTATTTATGTAGCTGAGATTTTTAAATGGATTCATTTTTCATCTGTTGATGTGTTTGTGAAAAATTGACATTATGTCCTCATAAAATTGGACAAACGAGTCATGTAATTTTCAGTTACATAATCAATAACTTAGACAAATTTTACTTCTTTGATGATTTATGTCTTTCTGTGGTTTTTTTGAGAGTAGCAAAAAATGAACATGGTTTCAGTTTCACTAATATCTGTAAAAATAATAACAAATACTTGAATTTTACATCTTGCATTGTATAGAACATAACATGAATCAATATAAGGCCTATCTGCAAAGGAAAAAAAAATTCAAGTCACAAACAGGAACAGCAAACTAAGATACTGAATGCACAATGTACAAGTTTTTCTTGGGGAAGGAAGCAATTATTTAAAATAGTCTCTTCAGAATGTTCTATTATTACTAATCATGAAGGCAGGAATCTGTTTTTCAATGTATTTATTATATTTTAAAAAATAAAAGTCCCAATCCTGATTTTAATACAAATTTCAATTGAGTTTATTTATATAGAAACTGTAGTATACTATTAATTTAATACATTAATGTTTTCTAAAAGCATATAGTATATAGAGTTCATGCTGAACAGAAAACTGTAGGGGAAAAAAATGACAGGAGGAAAAAATGACAGGAGATCACTTACTCATGGTACAGAATCTAGAAAGCTGCAATTTTCTCTTTGACCTAAAGTGACCTTTTTACCATGTTCCCTTATACCATAGACAGTGAACTGAATGCCTCTAATTCACCCTGCTTAACAGAGTGCAACAGTGTTCTTTAACTTAGTTTTGGTGGGAGGAGAAGGTATAGTAGAAATTTGAGAAGGGCGTGAAAACTTGTACAGGCACAAGGAAGAGTAAGAACTTTCTTCAAATGTGATTTTAATAGCTAGTCGAGTGTGTCCAACTGTAGAAAAGCACCAAGTGACAATCTGTCTACCTGACAGTTATCACAATGCATTACAAGGTTTTTGAATAGCTACACAGATTAGAATAAAGCAACACCAAATAAAGTATCTTTTGTTATTGTCAGAGATTTACTTAGCATTGATCATCTACATAGGTGGACTTCTTTTATTCAAGTGAAGATTTTATTTTAAGTAGTTAAAAAATTATTTTATTTTAGTATATTTTTTCCTGAAAAGTTATAAAGAAATTTTGAAATAAAGTTGGCAACTGGATTTGGTTTATGTGGATTTGACGTCTCTTACTTTCTTTTATGAGGATTATTTTCTTTGATATGAACAAAATGTCTCAAATTTCAGATTCTCTCCCAGTATGTTCCTTATTGATTAATAATTTTTATTCTCTGAGAAAAATCTAATATTTTTCCTGTCTCGAGTCTTTTAAATGCATTTTTAATTCCAATAAAATTGCTTATGTCTAAACTTGTAACTAATTCATTGAGTTCAAGCAGTATCAAATAATTACAATTGAAATGGATTCATTGTTATTGCTGCTATAACTTTTTAATTGAACAAATGTTTAATGGTTTAATCTCTGAAGTTTGCTAAATCCTTTTGCAATCAATAAGCAACGTACATGTAATGCTTTTTATTAATTAAACATCAAGTTGGTAATTTTGGAATCCAGTGTGGAGGAAGTTGTTTCACAATTTTTTGATGAACTGCGTAAATCACTGTATGGATTTACAATGTCAGGAGCAAGGCAAACAAATAAACAGAAGTGGTCATTGTAAATTTGGACACAAACATAAAAGAAATGCAACTGCTACTTCCTTTATCAGTGCTATGAAAATCACTTCAGTCAATACATTTGAACCAATAAACCCTTTTCCCCCTTTCATCTGAAACAGGAAGGCTATGGAGTGATAGTACTGAATCCGAATGAGAACTATATTGAGGTTGAAAAGACAAAAACTCAAATACAGCCGTCTCCAGATAGCTCAGATGAACCTGCAGAAAAAAAAGAGAGAAAAGATAAAATTCCAAAAGATACAAAGAAGCGACGAGACTTCTATGAGAAGTACCGAAATCCACAAAAAGAAAAGGAAACGATGCCAGTCTATATTAGAGTAAGTTGATCTTATTTGTTTTGTTCTGATATTGAAGAACAGAAAACAATTTTGTTTTTACTTATTTGCACTTTTAATATTATGTTTTAAAATGTGTTACTAAAACTAAAAAAAAATCTTTTAATAATTTATTATCTCTAAAAATGAAAATATATAGAAAAATGTGTTTAATTTCAAAGAGAAGCTTGAAATATCATTCCAAAAATAGTGGTGTGAAATATAGTGTATGCAATGTTTTTTTTAAGTAGACATGATTATTTTAAAATCTTTTAAAATATACCTTTGTTTACAAGTTCACAAAGTATTATGGGAATAGGTTTTTGGGGAAATGGAGTAGCATAAATTTCTATATTTTAATTTATTTGTCTAGTAAACTAATAACACAGTGGACAAAATGCTGATAATCTTATAAGATTATATCATTGATGTAATGTATTGTTTCCATTTAGGGATGTCTGTAGAAGGATAAAGATAGTTACTAATACATTAATAAATATTTAAGTTAGAATCATTTAAGAACAAAGCAGTGTAGAAATTCTGTCCTTTTGGTTTAATCAATGAACCTTTGCAGTTTGTAATACTAGCTGCATAGGATTGTTGCATTAATGCCACCCAAGGATTTTTAATTCTTCAGAGGTACAAATAATAGTGCTTTATATACATATGACACATTATATATTCAGACTTCTTTACCATTGGGTAGTTGTTGAACAATGTTAACTGGGAGGAAGGGGGTAATCTTTAAAGTTTTGACAAGTGTTAATTATTACACTGGGTGAAGTAATGTATTGAGCAAATATAGCTTAGTAGTTAATTTTACAATGCATATTTTTTAAAACTGGAGACAATATTTCTAGGAATGAATGAATGAATGAGGATTGGAGAAAAAGCCTAAGAATATAATATTTCCATTTAAAAATAATTGGAAATGTTTTTCTTTCTTTTATTTTTGACAAATACATTACATAATAAATTATTCATTAATCAATTCCATTCTTAGAGAAGCTTTCTTTTTTGAAGGGACCATTGGGGGTTTTGTAAATTTGCCAGAAGCAAATTTCTATAGTATTAGGCCTGCAGAGAATTGGTGATATATTTAGTAGATATTAAACAATTGCTAATTTCTGCCAATTCCTACTACTCCTAGATAAACATCAGCCTGAGAGTTGGGCATATCCCACAAACCTTCTGGCATAATAGTTAGAAAAAGGCAAAGAAAAATAACAAATCTTAGTTAACATATGTATATATAACAAAGCAGCTCAAAGACTAGCCTCATGTGAGAAAAATCTGCTTTCTAAGTGTACACACTTAGCAGCTTTCATGTTCATTATTCAGAATTCCATATTAATAAAAGTTCATAATCATATTTATAACCATTACACTAAAGTACTGAAGTATCTAGCAAGACTTTTTCTGTGAAAAGGGTATAAATAACAGATAATGTATACCTTCTAAAGCTTTTAGAGCAAAGCTTTTTTTTAAATATGACATAATGTACTTTGCCAATGTACTTATACTACAACTTGTTGAAGAGATTGATTTGGTCCCTGCAATAAACTTCATCTGACCCATTATGGTAGAAAAAATTTCTTATATATTCTGTGCTAAGATAATTATCAAAATATCTGCCAGCTGCTCTTAGTAAGTCAAAGAAAAAGTTATGTTTCATAAAATTCTACGTTAGTGAGGCAAACACCTATTTCAGATATTTTCTATACAAGAAAAATATTTCACATGTGATGTTTTAACTTAGACATTATGCATGTAATATATTTATATTCATTCCTGTTCTTATGGATACATTGCTTTATTCAGACCACAAGAGGTTGCTGCTGCACATTTTGGAGAACATCTCTCTCATTCACATAGAACCCAAGCTAGTAAATACTTAATTTTTTTATTCATTGCTGAACATGAGGGAATGTGAAGATTTGCTTAGATTAAAATTTTGTGCTCATTTTCTCTTTTTTGAAGAGATTACTTCTGAGGCAAATAGCAGATTTCTAAACATCCCCTCTCTCAAAAATACTATAAAAAAAGATGAACCAACATAAAAACTTATAGCTCAAGGATCAGTCACATGTTTCTTTGTACCCTAACCATTGTATTTTAATATAACTTTTTATTTTCAAGATACTACATAGCATGAATTTTCTTGTTCTTCCTCCTACTATATTTCTTGTGCCCTCAAAATCTGCCTTGGAGGTTCTTTAGAAACTACAGTGTCCACTGATAGTACATTAGAATTTATAGGAAAAATTTCATTAAATTGTTAAGCCATTAAATGATGCTGTTTAATTTTTATTTTGAGTTCTATTACAGGATTTATTTAAAAATAGACTGTATTGTTCAGGCATTTATAAATGTAAAATATTTTTAGGCACAAACTTTCACAGAACATTAGAAAGGCATATCCAACCCATGATCCCAGGCCTGGACAATTAGTAATAAGGTCCCACAAGATTGTAAACTTTTAATATTATTATGCACATTTATATTATATATTTTATATGCGGCCCAAGACAATTCTTCACTCCATACGACTCAGGCAAGCTAAAAGGTTGGATATGCCTGATATAAGACTTGGAAGAGGACTTAAAGTTGTTTAATTTAATCTCATGCTCAGGGAAGAATCCATTAAATCATTCCCAATAGATAGCCATCTAGCTTGTATATAGCTATCTCCAACAATTAAAAATCCACCACTGTTCTAAGACTGTTCCACTGCTTATTAGCTCTTACTCTCAGAAAATTCTTCCTATTATTTCAAACCATTTGATCCTTGTCCTCTTGCATTTTTACAGAGTATAGACCTATGCCTTGGAGCCTTTTCATTATCTTTAGATTGCTCTCATATCTGTTCTTAACCAGCTCTTTTGCAAGCTGTCCAGATCCATTAATCATTCCTTCTAAGCTTGGTTTTAAATATTCTGGTATTAATCCTCTGAACATTGTTCCCTACTTCCCTACTAAAGTGTTGTACCTGGGATCTACCACATTATCATAAATCCAAAATCCACCATTTGATCATAAGTCCTAACCAACACAGAGTAATTATTTTCCATGATTTAGATTCATGTTAGCGTTTAGGCAGCTGAAGATGTCACAGACATTTTAGTTGCTGCCTTATACCCTATATCTTCAGCTTAGTCCACTAGTATTTTTCTGATGTGCACTACCATCAAGCCAGTTCTCAACATCTCTGCATCAATACATTTGACCTGTGATTGCTAATGTCACCTGTTGGAAATGACCCAACTTACAAGCCTTTTGAGCTATGTATATATTGTCTGGGTTGTTAGCCAATTTCTGTAGTTTAATATCTTCTACGGATTTGATTCCTTTCCCCTCCAATTTCTATAAAAATATTGAATAATATTTGGCCAAGGATGGTAGCTTGATCCTTCCCTCCAGGACAATGCAGAAGTACTTAAGCACATGCTTGGTATGGTTGTTCAAGCAGTAGCAAGTTTCTTGGATGACAGTACATACAGCCCATAAATATGCATTTTTTCCACAAGAGTACTGTGAGTAGCCTTGCCAAATTCTTTATTGAAATCAAGATGTATTACATACATAGCATTCCCTTAGTCTACCAAACGAGTCAATTCTCTAATAGAAAGAAATTAACCTAGTTTGGCATAATCTGCTCTTGACAAACCAAAGCTAATTCCTAGAATGATAGCATTCTTTTCAAAATTGTTCTAGATACATCTTAAATGTGACATTAAAACAAACATATTGATAGAGAATAGGATTGTGCAACACATTCAGAGAAGACAGTTCTGAAAGCATGTTAGTACACACAAAAACTTCTTCAAAGCATTAAATGAGCTGCATTCTTGGAAGACTGCTTAAAAATGAGCTTTAAACATGTACCAAATATAAACTAGAGAAGAAACAAAAATTAAATTAAATTAAATTAAGGAAACTGATAAAAAGTTATTGTAGGGATTTATTTGAGAGACAGAGTTTTGCATGACAGACAGGTAATAACTTCAGGGAGAAAAAAATGTGAGAAAGATGAAATAAAGAAGTGCCAAAATTAAACTGTAGTGGGTATTAGGCAGAATTGGAACTTCATGATAAAAATATATATCTACTGTATAAGCAGCTTATTTCTAGATGTAGTAAAGATTTGCATCTAGCCACACTGTTGTGTGCTGGAGAGCCATAAGCTGAGTATAGGCCTAGAGCCTAGCCAACCCATGCCATACCAAGCATCCAGAAAATTCTGCTGAGATCTTGCCAACAAGCTTGGCAGTTATTCTCTTTTATTTCCTACTTGCTGGTTATATTCTTGATCAGGAATTAAATAGTAGTTTTAAAGTGAACAAAATAAATGTCCTTTATCTTTATATACCGTATATGCCGCCGTATTAGGCGACCCAGCGTATAAGACGACCCCCGTCTTTATAGCCGGGCCGCATTCCTAGAACGTCGTCTTATACGCCGGAAACTACCAGTATTTCCGGCGTATAAGACGACTCGGCGTATAAGACGACCCCCGTCTTTGGCGCCGATTTCAGCGCTCGCGGAAGTCGTCTTATACGCCGGCATTTACGGTATTGATAAATGAAATACTGATTAGTGTAAAAGAATTGGGTGTGAGAAGTCAAGAGAAATCAGTTTGTAAACTGAAGGTGACAATAGGTAGAATGATAACAACAACCTGTAACATGAAAAAGTTGCATCTCAGAAGTCCATATTACTTCTTATATTGTTGGGTAAAGTTAGATTTTGCTTAGGGCAGCAACATAATATTTTGTTCCATATCTGTAGAGAGGTGCCTTTGTATATCACATTCACACAATATCTCGATGTGACTATTTCATTTAATTAGCCTGATATATATTGTTTATTTATTGACAAATGAAGGTGGAGGCTATGGCCAACTGGGCCTTTGTTCAGCTTTGACTGCTGTCAATATAGGTCTTTGGGGACCAGGAATAATTCATGTCCTTTCCAATTCACAAATAGACTATTGTAGCATAGTC